GCCACAAAGCATCCTTGGGTAAAGAGGATTCAAGTTTGTTCAAATGAAGGGCCACACCCTCTTTCAAGGGGAGATAATTAGGAATTAGTGAAAAAATAATGGCATCATTTAAAAATCTTCTTCTCAAGAACCACTGGGCCAGGAAAGATGAGACTTATGTGGAAACATCCTCAGGTAGTGTAGATTCAAGTTTGTTCAAATCATGACCCCCAGGGGTAGGATGGGGCCACAATGGGGGATCCAAGTTTTACATAGAAATATATAGGAAAATATCTTTAAAAATCTTCTTCTTAAGAACAGTAAAGCCAAGATTGGTCATATTTATATGGAAGCATCCTCAGGTAGTGTAGATTCAAGTTTGTTCAAATCATGACCCCCAGGGGTAGGATGGGGCCACAATGGGGGATCCAAGTTTTACATAGAAATATATAGGAAAATATCTTTAAAAATCTTCTTCTTAAGAACAGTAAAGCCAAGATTGGTCATATTTATATGGAAGCATCCTCAGGTAGTGTAGATTCAAGTTTGTTCAAATCATGACCCCCGGGGGTAGGGTGGGGCCACAATGGGGGATCCAAGTTTTACATAGAAATATATTGGAAAATATCTTTAAAAATCTTCTTCTTAAGAACAGTAAAGCCAAGATTGGTCATATTTATATGGAAGCATCCCCAGGTAGTGTAGATTCAAGTTTGTTCAAATCATGACCCCCGGGGGTAGGGTGGGGCCACAATGGGGGATCCAAGTTTTACATAGAAATATATAGGAAAATATCTTTAAAAATCTTCTTCTTAAGAACAGCAAAGCCATGATTGGTCATATTTATATGGAAGCATCCTCAGGTAGTGAAGATTCAAATTTGTTCAAATAATAACCCCTGGGGGTAGGGTGGGGCCACAATTGGGGATCAAAGTTTTACATAGAAATATATAGGAAAATATCGTTAAAAATCTTCTTCTTAAGAACAGTAAAGCCATGATTGGTCATATTTATATGGAAGCATCCTCAGATAGTGAAAATTCAAGTTTGTTCAAATCATTACCCTGGGGATAGGTTGGGGCCACAATGGGTGATCAAAGTTTACAGAGGAATATATAGGAAAAAGTCTTTTTCTCAAGAACAGAGAAGCCATGATTAGTCAAATTGATATCGAGGCATCTTTGGGTAGTGTAGAATGAAATTTGTTCAAATGAGTGCCCCCGGGGGTAGGGTGGGGCCACAATGGGGGATCAAATTTTTACAAATGAATATATGGGGAAAAAATCTGCTGCTTAAGAACAACAAAGCCATTTGTTATATTGATATGAAAGCATCGTCAGGTAGTTTAAAATTCAACACCCCCCTCCCTGTAAACTTTTCAATACTGTACTGATTTTTGCTTTTTTTCCTAGCCAATGTGCTCAGGTGAGCGATGTGGCCCATGGGCCTCTTGTTTAGATAGCCAAGGCTTTATTTTAGACAGACTTTTCTCTCCTAATTTTTGCAGCTGTATGTCACTTATATATATTTTTTGTTTGTTTCAAGGTGAGAATTAGAACATTTCACAGCTGTGTGAAGGAGCATTATTTGTTCATATGTTAAGGAATTAGTCACACAAATAGCAATAATGATGTCAGTGTGGTACAAATAAAAAGAATAAATACTGATAAAACTTTGTACATCCTTGGTGCAGTGACACAAGCAAATAAGAATTGAATGCATGGCCATGTGCCTTGTTTGTTTTTTTGATTAACACATAAAATATATTTCAAAGAGTTTGAGCTGTCAATTAGACCTAGATGTGTAAATACTCCCAGGGAGCTGGTCTACCTCCTGTTCAATATTTCCTGCAGGCTGACATAAAGTTTGATCAAAATGAAACCTCTGAGACACGCTCAGTAGAGGTATTGGATTTTTTCAGTCTCGGTTCCTCGATTAAGTTGTGTGTTTCACTGTAAAGACTTACTCTACAATGAATTATTAATTCTAAAAATTGACAAAAGTAATGATAATTTAAGGGAACAGGCATGGCGTCTTCTTTCCCAGGTTACCAGTAAATTCATACTTTATGGGAGAATTATTCCAGCAGTTTGTAAGTTATTTTTTCATTATTAATATAGATTTAGGAAAGTCATTTGTAGTAATAACTGATTTTCTGCTGTTTGTGGTCATTCTTATTTCCTGTGTACTACAGACATTACCAGGTATAAGACTGGGATACAAATACAGTCTTTAAGTCCCCTATTATCATTATAAACCTTTGTATTGATCAGATAAAGACTGTCAAACCCATCATTTAAGTACTTACCCACCACACTAAAGGTGTCTGTGTTGACTTTTGATCTAATCAAATAAAGACTTCATTTAGCAGGATAATGGTACTCCAGGGGCCTGGGATTGTTACATACATTTGATCTCTATCAGGAAGGGCCAGGATTTTGTTTTAACAAGTTTTGTTTAACAATTGTTTGAGAATAATATAGCAACTTTCAGTCAAGACTTTGAGGCATATGAGAACATCGCCATATAAACGTAAAAAGTACATGATCTTTTCCTCCATGTGTAAAGACAGTTCTTGCATTAGCTTCAGTGGTTTGGGTATTTCATGTTTATCATTTTATGTAAATCGAAGTTAGTACATACTTAGATGCATGTACCCTTAAATTTATTCAATATCTCAAAATATTTTTTAAAGATTTTCTTGTATGTATTAATTCAGAGGAAAAAATTGTTTCATTTTTGAACATCAGATAAGTGTTATATTTAATTTGTTGATACATGATTGTTTTGTGTGCAGTTTCATTTTATTATCAGATAAGGCCACGCCAATTTGTAAAATAGTTCTTCGGATTTTCAAAAATAAAAAGTGAGGCGAGCGAGCGAAATAATTTTACAAATATTATTTTTCATTTCGGGTTTCAAAATTATGAGGCGAGCGAATATAATTAATATAGGTGGCAAAATTTTTTAAGTTCTCCTCTTTTTCCTATTATTTTTTCTGGGAGAGAAAACGTTTTCTATGTACTCATAAGATGTGAAAACGCGTCTTTCTTTTGTTTCTCGTAACATTGCAATTTAGACGTAGTTTCATTTCTACAAATTTTCTGTTTACCGGGGTAATTCTTTGCAAATTGTTAAGGTCATGTCAGGTTTCAAAATCACAATTGCATCGCTTCTTGAATTTTCTTTAATTTTTATTGAACAAATACGATCAATATTTACTTAACCTTGTGTGTATTTTTCATATGTTGATGATATTCTCTTTATTGTTTCATCAAACAAAGCTTCAAACGTCTCCTATGCTTCCATTTCTATTGCTGTGTATGGAACTACTTTGTACCCATTGTTTTTAACTATAGTACACAGGGGTGTGCAATAAAAAAAATCAAGTAAGTCAATCAAAGTTACTAGCCCCAAGTAAAAAGTTACTAGCCCAAATAGAGGGGCAAAAATTAAAATAAATACTTATTAATGTTGAGAAGAAATTAATTGCTGAAAAAGTCAGGGTACTGAGGTCATTCTTTTTAAAATTAAAGTTAAAAGTTCTCACTATCAATATAAATCATGTATAAATTATTATGAAAGAAAATTAAAATGAATTTAAATAAATTATCTTTCCTTTTTCTGATCATTGCACTAGCTCATTTAGAATGAAATTAAATTCATTTTGTTTTCATCTTAAATCATTGAATACACTAGAAATATATTTTATGTAAGTCACAAAACACTTATTTTTCAGTTGATTGAGTGATTGTAAATAATTTAATGATATATCTGTATGTATTTACCATAAATGGAGGAATAGAGGAAATTCGGATTAGGAAAAAACGATCGTTTTTGGAAGTAAATAGTCAGGTAGAACTGTAAAACAGATAAGATTATGGAGATTTATTGACAGTCGGAGCATGTTGTCTGGAAAATTTCAACTGGTTGGGAATTTTATAGCAAAAAAAATGAGTGAAAATACCGATTGTGCTTGTCATGTATTGCGTGTGTAGTTAATTTTTTTACAAGCCCGACGGGCTTCCTCCTTGCAGAAAACCACTAGCCCGACCCGCAAAAATGGTAGCCCCGGGCTTCGGGAGATGCTAAATGCTCACCCCTGGTACATACGAACAGTTACACAGGCATCGTGCAAAACTTCACAAACTGTTACAAACATTCTAAATCCCGCGCTTCTGTCAAACAACTTTCCAAGTCTTTTGTGCGTTTTGTGTAAAAAGTCAAGAGAAAAAAATTGTATACGGATATTTTTGGACACTCGCGCAGATTTTTTTTTATAATATTATAATTTGGATTTGTTGTAAATAGAAGCGGCGAATCCGACGAACTATATTAGAAATTGGTATGGCCTAATTGTTATTATTTGTTGATATGATTGTTTTTGTGTGGGTAGATTGATGCTGTTCTCATTTCTCTTTAGAATAGTTGGATACCAGAGCACATGTACTGCATAGCCTTTAATAGTTCATTATCAATGAGATTTTATAAATGCACTACTTGCAGTACCTCCCAAAGTGACAAATTAGCAAAGTGCTCTTTCTTTATGTGCATGTACATGTATAGAGTAGGTCTCCAACAAAATTGATAAAATTTGATTAGATGGAAATATTAGATTTGTACCTATTACTTTACACCCACACATAATTCAATGATACAGTATAAAGAACTCAATATCATTGTACTAATCAATTTCTACTACTAATGCCAAAATATCAATCAGTCTTTTTTATGGCTCATTGATGGCAGTGTAGTCTGCACTTCCTACAACCCTTCTAAAGGCCCCCAATCCTGGCCATTATACTTTGAGGAAATTAGTGTCACATGTCGGTAGTAGTATTTTCATAAGACTAATACCTGGCACAATTCTATGTCATAATCAGATTTCAGTAAAAGTAATGTAATGAAACTGGATACTGACGGTGTGTTTACGTGTGATGGAGATTTTTTTTTCTATGATATCTGTACCTGTATCATTGATATCTATTGTCTGTGCTTACCTTAACGATGCTGCTCGGAGCAATTTTACGATGCTTGGAGCAATTTCATGGGACAATGGAGGGAGATACTTATCACTTTAAGGACAATATTTACTTTGATGAGGCTAATTATTGAACCTCATAAGAGATTTGTTTATATGTTTATCTTGCCCGTGTTGATCTTTCAGGTGAGCTATTGAACAGCTTCATGAGATAGGATTAGAGTTTTCATTCCAAAGCTCACAATTACTTGGGAAAACGCTTCAGGATTGATGTTTTTGTCCGAGAAAATCGTGGAGCTGATCCAGATCAGGTTGATGAAGGAGAATTCAATCAAATGTGTCCATCATTTTAATGAGAACCAGTTTACAAGTGATACATGATCTCTGGCTTTATTTTTACTGGAATTTATCACAATTTAGGATATATATTTAAACAGGTAAGACTTTATATGTGACATTTAAACATCAAATGTAACAAAATATTAAGGTGCTAGGGTAAACTCCTAAGACATGTACAGCTCTGTTACAAAGGATGCAACTGGGTGTCAGGCTTATAATTTGTTATTTAAATAAAAAATAATAGTTAAATTAAGTGTAATTTTGTTTTTACAGTCAGTAACTTAAATAGGTATTTTGCACACACCAAAGAATCAGATTCACAGTTCACTGTGTTCTCTGTCATCAAAATTGTGATATTTTTTTTATGGCAATTGCATTCATACAGAATTAACTTGATTAAAGTGTGAAATGCAGAGATCATTTCATGCAGTGATTAATTGGAAAGCATGGGCAGGTTATTGGCAGTTTTCAATTTTAAACAAAACAATCCTCTTTATGCTTTACAGAGCCATAGACCTTGGCAGGGGAAGCAACTCAAGCAAAAAATTTTTCATTTGTAATTCAATAGTTTTGATTGGTTGCAGCAGTTGGCTTCACCAGATGATGACAGAATTACTCAAATTGTAGTTGCATGTGTTATTAGAGAATAGAAATTGAAAATTGACTTTATATGTCTGGCAGGGATATTGAAACCTATGTGCAACCAACCTTAAAAATCAAAGCATGAGTCTGGTTTATGACTCACTGTCATAGATTTAATATTGATGTATTTTGAATTTTTATTTTTTTTGGTTTTTGTTTTTTGGGGGTTTTTTTTGACTAAAAAAATTCTTTAAGTTAGTCTGGTTGGGTTATTGGGGCAATATCAAACCTCTATACCACATAAGGTCACATGTCTCTTGGGGAGGATACATGTACTCTGAACCTCCTGATGGACGGCAAAAATGATACAGTAATCCTCCATCCATTATGGCCAGTCTGTCCATAGTCAGTTTTAATTAATCCACCAACCAATATCAATATTGATTTCTCCTTGTCACCTACATTAAAGCAAATTTCTTGGTGGACAACATCCGGCAGATATTGAGTTTTACTTGGAACCCTAAACCGCTTTTACACAGCCTTAAAAAAAAATATGAGGTTAAAGGTCAAGGTTACTATAACAGTTGTAATTTGTATAGTTGTACAAGGTTACCACAAGAGGCCTCACAAAAAAAAAAAATTTAAAAAATGCCACTTTTTGGTATTCTTATTACAGTATAATATATCTTATCTGGAATGAAAATGAGAGGATATCATCAAAGTAGAGTAATGTCATTAAAACAAACTAATTTCTGTATATGGAGATAGACTCTTTTGCCAATTTCATTATGGATGCCCCCAAATAGACTGGGATATATATCTTATTTGTTTGAATGGATCTTTGATCACACTTGTAGTTGTAAGGTCATTATTTATCTCAAAATAAAACACCAGCAGACAGGGAATATATCTGTTTTACACGTCTACTGTTTATAAATGTCTGAGAGATGTGTCTATAATCTATACTGTTAAAGCTTTCAAGTCAGAGATCTATTGCCGGGTCAGTGCCTAATAATTTCATTTATTAGGGGAGATAATATTTCATTTGCTTATTTCCTTAAAAAGTACCAAAATGATGTGTACAAACACTTTTTTAAAGTAATCTAATCGATGTAATGCGAAGGTACTGATATAGAATTTTTTAAATTCTATTTATTACCTTGACATATATGCATGTATCTTTGAAATAGATTTTTTGATTAATACCTAGTGCAAGTCATTTAGTTAGGACATTTGTACATTCATGAAATATTACATGTACTGTAAGTACTTCAGTGAAGGAAGAAAATTGTCTTACTTATTAAAAATTTCCTGTTAAGTAGAAATTCATCATTCTTAATTTCTCTTAAATGTTATTGGTTGTATTTGTAGACACAATATCTAAATAGTTTATATATATGATATCACACAGGTAGAAGGAAATTAGATCATAATTTTTTTTCTCTAAAGAAAAAAGCCCTCCCCTCAATCCCAACAAAATCTCCCCCACCTCCAATCTTAACAAAAATATTTCTCTAATGTGAAAGAAAAAAGGTTTCAGAATGTACATATTTTACATACAGAATTACATTATACAAATGCCTATTAGCAGGTTTTGAAATCTATACATTTCACAGCATTAAACAAGAATGTGTTTGACAATTTCTTGCATACATAAAATTGTGAGATATATCAATATCATATTCAGATTACACCCACGACAATGTATTCTAAAGTCCACTCACTGATGCAACAATTTTTTAAAATGCTAATTGAATAAATGTCTCATTTTCGTAATCTTAATTTTCAAGAAACTGTGGCTATATTAAGGCCTGCACTTACAAAAATTTTTTTTTGGAAAAATCTACTTGTTTATTTATAAAGAAAAAAAATTACACAAGCAGCTCTTAGTCTGGAGTAACTGCAAAAGAGATTTACAAGGAAAGAAAGGTATCAGCTATATCTTTTAAAGAAAGGAAAAAAGGATTGGATTCAATTTAGATATCCCACCAGTACATTAAGCCTGAATAAATCTACGAAAAGAAACATCAATCAACATATTTTTTCATCTCGCAAGAAGCTGGGTGAACATCAGATAACTTGATTGTAAAAGTGATGTCTCCGACATCAATTTATAGAAGAGACCGACATTTGTCAATATAATCACACAAATACAATTAACGGTTCCGATTGGACATCCTTCTTTGTGTGTGTTGACATGGACTGCATTTTAGAAGAAATTTTCTTCCAATTCAGCAATTTCTTCATTAAATCCATGAGATGATTGTTCGTGCCTTTGATTTCAGAAGCTAATGGACCAAGTTGTAGAAGTTTGTACAAATAAGGGTATTGAAGTCTTCTTGCTTTAATTATTTTAATGCAAGAAGAAAGAATCTTTTATCCTTTATTGATGCAAAAGAATTATTTATGCAAAGTGCATGTAAAAGTTTCATTAACTTCAAAAGAAAATCATTAGTTTTATATTCTTTTCACAGATTAATTGCGAGAAATTCAGGTCCAATTATAAGATGCAATAGATACAACTTTTTTGTATTGGGTACATATATGTTTTTTAAAATTTGAAGGAAAGGCCAGTCCACATTTTGGGGCTTTTTTTTAAAAAAATAATATAAAATTTTTCAAAGTCTCTCTATTGCTCTGTCCTGTTTTATTGGTAGTTAAATTCACAAATTTTACTAAAAATAGGACATCTCTGCAGAGGTATAAACTTGGCTCTAAAGATGTCTTTCTCTGTATGTTACTTATTTGAAAATGGACTTTCGTTACAGTTTTAAATTGGCAATTGCATAATGTCCTTGAACTTGCTAAATTCATCTTTCCTATGATTTTCCTAAATTCATCTTTTGTATGATTTTCCTGTCCCATTGGCAGGTATAATTTTATAGAAACCAAATCCATATAGTAGAAGAGGCTCTCTGATAATTAAAGGAGATTCAACTGTTTAAAGAGAGAGAATCCACAGAGAATTAGGAAACAAAAGTTTTCTATAATGAGGCCAATATTGTTGTTTTTCATTCAACCCTTGTAATCTCACACTTGATGGGATTAAGATTAAACTTTGAGATATCTGACAATTCAAGATAAAAAGGTTAAAAAAAAAAACCATGTAGAAAAAGTGGTTGGGACTGCCAACTCATTTCAACTTATCCCTGGTATTAGAGATACCAGAGATAACAAACTTCAACTGTATTTACCGTAAGTTTTGGAAGATAGGACGATACTTTTTTTCTCAGAACCGCTGGGATCGTCCTATTTAACGAATCGACCTATCTAAAGCCCAAGTTTACGAAAAATGCCTCAAAAATCAGTAAAATTTACGTCAATTTTAAAGCAAATCTATGCCATTTTTGTATTTTTTTAAAATTACTTTACCGAGAAAAAAAATAATAAACAATAAAGAATTAAATATTTATTCCATTGATTTCTTACAAAATAAGTTCCATTAAATATCCGTCGATGTACAAAAAAACTTATATATCATCAATAATGTCTCAAAGTCATGCTGTGTCCATCTTGTGAAGTTGGAAGTCGCAATCGTTTACTAAAAATAAAACCGCAACCGTATCAAAGTTTAAAATACGGAGGAGTTTTCACAATCGCAATTGAATTTTTTTTTTTATTACCATTTATTTGTAACGATTAATTGAAATAGTATACCAAGTAAATATTTTTTCATTGTCTTGTGATATTTATTTAAATGTAAAATGTGTGAAATAAACTGTTGCCGGTAAATTCCTAAAATTATTTACCAAATATACCGCTAGTCATATATCCCAAGGGGTACACCGAATTATACAAAGATTGGCTTTTAATAGAATTTTAATTGTCTGACAGATAGAGGGATATACACTGTGTACACAAAGGTGTTAACACCTGTTGGTTTAAACACCTGCGGGGCATGATTAACAGATCCACGTGCCGTTACAGGGGTATTAGTACTATACATCATTGAACAAACAAAACTGTGAAATTCCTGATGACTGTTAAATTGCGAATGTACTCTCAATTAAATTTATTTTTTACAACAATATCTCAAGCAAAATTATAGCATGTTAATATGATTAATTTCAATTGCTCACTGTTACATGTAATAGTCATTTGCGTGTTTTAGCAAATCCCTGAACAAAAAATATAAAAATGGCAGTCATCGCACTTAATATTGTACCCCGGTAAATAATGTCGGAATAAAAGAATGTGTCCACGATGTTTTAAAATGGAAATGATTATTGTTTGATTTCGGGTATTTCCCTAATTATAGCTGTTGTATACTACCGTATTTATGTGTTTAACGACGGAGTCAAACAACGACGGCGTTGAACAGGCAAGTTGGAGAAAATGCGTTATATCACAATTCAAGGAAGTTTTAACTATGTTTGTGTAAAACACTATTAAAATGCTGTACTCATAAAAATACCAGTTTATTTTCTTCATACGTTAATATCACGGGTTAAGTTAAAGACCTTTACATGTTCTGATACGTAGTTTCTAGGTAAGAATCTCTAGAAAGTCGATAAAC